ACATTTCCCTCCCCCCCGCGACTTTCCCCCCCATCACCATCACTATCAGCATCATCATCATCATTATCATCATCATCATTATCATCATCATCATTATCATCATTATCATCATCATCATCATCATCATCATCGTCAATCTACCCGTACAACCCCCTTTTTAACCCTACCTACCACGCTACCACCCAATCAATCGTACATAGGATCGCTCCGTCCTCGATTTACATCAAAACTAATTAAAAATTATTCCTTTATTTATTCATTTAATTTAGAACTCATTTGAAATTCATGTAAATTCGAAAATACTTAATTAACTATCTTTCTTGACATTTCTTTTTCAAAAATATTTTCTTTTTCGAAATTTTCGAAAATACGTAGGATTAATCAGTCTTTCCCGGCATTTCTAAAAGGGCCTTTACCCGATTCAGGGTCTGAATGATGAATTCAGCATTGAGGCATCCTTCGGCCAGACTCGTGAAAAGCAAATCAAAAGGCATGTTCTCTGAATCAAAAGTCACATCCTAACTGAGTAAAAGTCAAATGTCAAAGGTCACAGTTGTGCCCTTGGACAAACAGTTGCAACATTCAGATATGAGAGTCACATTTGTTCATCCAGGGGATGTGCAAGTCATGTCTGTTCATGCAAGAGATTTGTCTGTACGTGCAGTATGTGTGTCTGTTCGTGCAGTATGTGTGTCTGTTCGTGCAGAATGTGTCTGTTCGAGCAGTAGGTGTGTCTGTCCAAAGGAAGTCAAAAGGATAAAGTCCCAGACTCCCAGTCGCGTATTAAGTCAAAAGGAGAGTCTAGATACAGGCTCTAAGTCCAAAATTCAGGCCTGAAGGCCGCAGCAGCAGCAAACCCTGAAGGGAAAGGTACTGGGACACACTTCACAGAGGCTGGGACTGGGACAGGACTCGAGACAGGCTGGTTGAGTGAAGGGAACCAGGACAAAGATCTTGAGAGAAGAGTAAGAGAGAAGAGACAGGTCATGATGTTGGATATGGAAGATACTTACCTGTTGGCGCTACACTTGTGATCTGGGGCAGACGCTGGCTGAGCCAGACCCTGTGTGTATGGTTGATGAGGGAGAAGCCTGTACTTTGTGGACGCTGAACTCTTGAGTTTGAGATACTCTTGTTTAATGGGATTTGATAATATACGCTGCGCTATCTGGTTCTTATCTCATCTTGTTTCAACTTGACTTTGTGTGTGTAAGACACTCAATCTGTGTATGTTGATACTTGCGCATGCGAAAAGATACACTCCAACAAGTTGTGGTCAGTCAGGACCCTTGCAAATTTGGTATCGGAGCAGAAGCTTGTTGCACTCACTGCGCTGGCATGAGTAAGGCCGGCAAGAAGAAGAAAGGAAAGCTGGCTTGAGGATGATGCTGGTGATGGTGGAGTTGTGAGACAGAGGTGGAATGGGATTGGGGAAGAAGTCAACCGAAGAGGAAGGGGCAGGAGATTGCTTACCTGGAGCGTTGGAGTGCGGAGCAACGAGGAGCTTCATCGACGGCCGCTTCAAAGAGAGAAGAACCTCCATATTTCCTTACCTGGTTGTGTGTGTGTGTGTGTACTCTACTTCTTTCCCTCCCTGGTGGTCGCTGCTGCTGCTGTCTACCTAAGGTCTGGTTTGGGAGTCAGGACACAAGTGTCTGGTCACATTAGGAGTAGTAGTGATCAGAGTCTTGTAGGTCCTGTCTTCTACCCCTCTAATCTGACATCCGCAGGAGGTAGGAAAGGTGGAGAACACTGGTGTGTAGTGGCCGATTGCCACGTCAGAGTGCAAGCACGGTATAAAGCAAAGTC